CACCCAGCCAATCCCCTGACCTACACATCAAAGGACCCTCGTGGTAAGAACTCAAGAAAAGGATAGCCGATGAATCGGTCACAAATGCTGCTCAGAAGTTTGGCTTATTTGAAGAAGAATGGAAGGAAATCGATGAGTGCCTGATCGACAAGTTGTTCGAATCAATGCCCCGCAGATGCCTAGCCGTCATCGTTGCCAACAGCTTCACTACAAAGTATCAGACTAGTAGTTAATTAGGTTTTAATCTTATAATGATAGCGTTCAAGTCAAGTGATTTATTTCAAATTATTGAAAGTGATGTAATTTTGTACTGTTTAGAAAAAAATTTGAAAAGTGGCCTCTTAAACGAAATAAGTTGGAGTTTTGTGAATTCTAGGATGGAGACATTAAATATCATCACTGTTGACAACATATCAAAAAATCAGTCAAAAACATTGAGTTCGAGATAAGTTATGGCAAAAAGGGTTCGAGGTGATTTCTTTTTGAACGGTACTGTATATCGTTAAGGGCATCTGCTATTTTTAAGCATAGCGAATGCTCTATTATTATCCTGAGAATAACGTAGCTTTAATTCGCTCGAACGCTTTCAAAAAAGGCTACACTGCCTTTAAAGTTGTTGCGCCTGCAGAACAATGAAGAATTTCGGCTATTCTCCTACACTGACTTTCGCCATTTGATGATTGTCGTCATAAATTATCCTTGGAATGTAAATGACTGCAATCGGACCTTTCTAATGGGCAAAATAGATTAATTAAACCAGGTCATTTCAAGTCTGTCAGCGATCGACGATCAGATAAACACCTGCATATGCTAAGGTGTCAATGTTCAGTGGGTCGGACATGAGCTGTTGTTGTTTACTTGTTGCCGAACTAGATGACCTCCTACTAGACGATCTCTGCTCAGTAATTTGGACATAAATGATGTGATAAACTCAATGCTCCTCTCTTGAACACTGCTCAGCTAGTTACAATACCAATTAAATTTAAATATCCAAGTTCGACTCTCAGTAAATCTTGGCATGGCTTTGAATGAATTTTGTAAGATTATAAAAAAATTCTTACAAAATACATTTAAATAACTATAAGGGTTACTAATGGGAAAGGGATACCAGAGTGTTTACAAGTAAAACATACAAAAGGAAAATGTTTCCAGGGTTTTCCAACGAAAACTCGACTATCCTAGCTTTGCAAATCGAGAATGTACCCGTAAGGCACTATCATGATAAGCTACAACCAACCGGAAGTCAATACGCATCATTGGTGAAGGGGAAGTAGGGGGTTACAGGGTGGGGGGTAAGGCCATTACTATCTTGCTAAGATTGTCCTGTAGGTTTTTTACCAACCAATCATAGTAGCAGCGAACTCGTGCATAAACACCCCGTCTCCTTACGCTTAGACCAGGGAGCATGCAAATTTAACAAAATTATGTAAAATACTGCCAGTGGCACCGAAGAATCGAATTTTCAACAAAACACGCCATAACATACAGTGTGAATAATGCCACGTATGATTCAGAATGTCTTCATTGAACTTCTAAAACTCTTTAAAACATGAGCAATATATTCGCGCAAAGCGAAACAAATGAACCGAGTGCCCATTGCCGCAAGAAAGCATCATAAAGTACCGGATAATGGCAGCACACATACAGAGATCAAACTTTTATCAGAATAGAAATCTATCAACTCAACAGCGCTGGCAACAATGGGCAACTCAAGTGAACAAATAAGAATTAGAATCACAGGAAAAAGGCAACGCCGGTTACGATTACGAAATTCCGCAAAGCTTCAACGAACCAATCGACATCATAAAGAAAAAGTGAGCAAACATTAATTACTCACCAACAGTTTTTTTTACATTTATACAACAAAAATCAATGTAAAGAAATCAAAAACAAGTTCAAAAAAGAAGCCCTATATTGGGGTGAAATGTCATAGTAAAAGCCCGTGGATTGGAAAGAAAACAGCCTATACTTCTTTATGCTTATTAGATCATGTCTCACGTGGAGCGCCATAAATAAAATTTTCCTCTGCATAATATTGCGCAGGGTTAGGATACCTGAAAATGGCTATAAGCAAACATGAAATGAAAACTAATGAGCTAGAATTTGTTACCTGTATTGAATAAAGTCGGGCACAGTTGGAACATCCAAATATGGGAGAGCAAGAATATCACGATCTTTCACGTGTATAAGGTATGCCTAGAAAACCTCGGTGTGACTCGAAGTTTCATGACAATGATCAACCTCACGGAGTATGTATTAACCTTCGTCGGATGATGAGGCGCTTTTTTCGATTGCTCACGTAAAGCCTTCATTTCATCTGCCTTTCTACGTAACTCTTCTAGAGACGGCAGCATTGCCAGCCAATCTACTTTCCCTCGATTTTCAGCAACACTAGATGGACCGGCTACAGCACTGTCAGGACGCGAGGATGTCGTTGAGGACAATGGTCGCGACGTCTGCTCCGATTCCTGAACATATCTACATGTAAGCCCCGGCACTACTTGATATCAATGAGATGAAAAGAACCATTCGATAAAGATAATAAGCAAATCGAGTTAAGTAGGAGGAACAAAAAGTTAACGGAAATACCAGGCTATAGAAATAGTGCAATTGAAGAACTTTTAGCCAGCTTTGCAAAGTCTTTTGGGTTATATACTTCCAAATAAAAGAAAAGCAGGCTTCACTGGTTCCAAAGTTCAATCATAAAAAAAGTACTGTACAGTGTTTCCGTTGAGTGATCAGTAAACCTCATACTTCCAAAACACCAACGATTGCGCTTTGCGGAAAGAATAAATTACTCCAAAGCTCCAAAAGTCTTCTAATAAAAAATGCATTGATTTCCCTCATGGATTGTGACAAATGTAGCTTAATGAATTTACCTATACTTTTGAGAATACATTGACAAAACTGAATAGATTAACAAAAAAAAAAACCCAAGACGAAGCCTAGTTAACTCACATCTTCTAATTCTTCCTTGATAGGAGCAACGCGCGGCAAACGAAGGATAAAACGACCAGAAACGGAAGAGACTGAAATTATCAATATTGATCGCAAATGTATTTATTTACCGAACAGCTCATGTTCATATACCAAGCCAATGAACAGGAGAGGACTACCATACGTTTTATGACAACGACGCGTCAGGATCTAGGCAAACCTACACGTACTCTTGTTTAAACACCTAATAAGTCATAGCAAAACTTTGTGAAGATATACACTGAACCTCTTATTTCTATCGATTTAAAAAAAAGAATCACTCATAAACAACCTTAAATCCAATTAACGTCACACTATATCATTTGCTTCGTCTATGCGATCCCCAGCTACGACCAATTCCAGAGGAACGATCGTATCTACCTTTCTGCTGACTTCGTGTCAGTGTGCGTCACGCATTTGTGCTGGGGCGCGTAAACGGCCCGCCTCGCACCCGGAACATTATCAATATGCCATGATACGCCTCAAGTGATAGTGCGCCAATTTCGCAGTTGTAATGATAAGTCATATTAGCACAATGTTAATGCATAACACATACAGTTCAGTGGTGAAGAGAAGGGAAGAGAGTTCCTGGGTGATCAATAAAAAGCTATTCACAGCATAGATGCACTGCTAGAGAATTGAAAACACGTAAAGCACTGTTCCAATCGTAACTTCACTGAACTGCACCGCTCTGTCACGACAAGCCCCGCCACTATGTACACGGTCCACAAAAAAAGAAATGTTGAAATACTACCCAAATCCGACATTTCGCTACAGGTTTGCAAACGTTGTAGACGAAGCGCACTTCACTTCGGAAACCCATCATTTTGGAAGAATATCCTCCCCAACATTAATCAAATCTCATCCTCTTGCAGATTTACTGAAACGAACACATTTCAACATACCCGGAGTAGACTCTGCCGGCGAATCCTGCGGTTTCATTTTACGTTCATATTTCCGTTTTTTCCTTTCAGGCTGCGAATACGGAGTGCTCGTTGACGCTCCACCATACAGCTGCATGGCATACTAAAAGTAAAACTTAGCTTCAACGATTGACGAAGATTCTAATCGTCTATCATAGTTAGAGCAACAAGCCTAACCTCTTCATCTTGCTGCTCGCGTTTTACCCGTTCTTCATGTTCACGGATTGATGAGTCAATACTCATATGTTCCGGAAGATTTTGACTAAGTTCAGCTACCTAAAAAAATCTCTTAACAATACGGTGGAAGCAAATGGGCGATGTTTGCCCAAATGCGAGAAAAACTTCTGGTATCCCATCATACTGAACTTTGTGTAACAATTATTTCATTCATGGTACTTTCGATAATAACGCTTTTAAAGCGACCCTAACATCTAACGTGTCTCATCCTTCCCTTGTCCTCGATAAAAGCATAGTGCCGTAATCATGGCTTCATGCAGATACTACTTCCCATAAAACTCAGCTCAGCATGACTTTTATGAACCATTCAACTTTCGCTTCAACACTTCGGTGTACTTTACCTTACAACTGATTTGATTTTCAGACATTGTAACCGTTTTTTAATATCCAGCTAGATCTCAAACAGTACGTAATACACCACATATCATCATGTACAAATACATGAGTGAGAAACCCCTCTCGTAATTTTTCTGGGCTGGCCCATACAATTCTATTTCCTTATGTACTTTGCTGATCAATAATCAACTATCTTTGTCTCCTATTGTTGCTTTTACTGCTGCCTTTAGCTCAATGACACTTTTTTAAGACGACACCTTTCAGAAGTGATACCTCATAATAACTATCTCTTGCTGTTACACAACTACTCTGCTAATCCCAACAAGGTCACTGCTTTGAAATAAACAAAGAGACGCAGATGTGGAAGGACTTGGTGACTCGTCAATCTACAACGATTGATCCCCATATGTAATCATGCCTGCACAGGATCCATGCATCCGAAGCAGCGTGTATTTACGGAACACAAAATCTCCACTGTTTCGGATTCATGGATTCTAGATTGTGTTGTGAAGAAAACTTTATTTCAACATTACTGATAATATAATAATTGAAGGAACTCGTGCAAAGCCATTGAAATAAGCCGATTTGGAAACCAACCAAGTCTTTTGTACTTTGAACTGCCTTTCGTGCAGCTAGTACCGAAACCGTGGGAGTGACCGGGGAAGCCAGCGAACCAATTGCAGTTTTGGTACGCTTCATTCCAGACGATGGTGCACTCGCTACACTTACTAAAACTACAAGATAAGCTAACTCTTCTTTGATTAAAGACCAATAACAAGTTAGGGAATGTGACGCACAGCCGCCATCCTCAAGTTTCCTTTTCCCGTTCCGTGGGTCGTCTCCGCGGTGCACTAGGTCGGAGCCTACAGACTGCGATTTATGTAACACTCCATTACTAGGGGACGTGAGCTCCTTAGGAGCATAACTTCCATTTGCAGGAGAGACCGTTGCGCTACTAGCAGCGCTTCCTGAAATAGACTGATTAACTAAAACGATGGATAAGGAAACAAAATTCCTACCTGCAAGACCTGTAGATGTGATACGTCTATTCACCGGTGTACACGGAGTAACTCTACGTGATAATTTAGCAATACTAGGTGACACCATGTTCGGTGTTCCATTGGCAGAAGACGTGGTACTCGATGCTGATCGAGTCTGAAGAATGCTTTTAGTTGAGGCCCTAGTCAAAAATCCCATTTTTGAAGAAGGAGTACTTGCCTCGACCAGTTTCTGCCATGCCTTTATTAAAGCTCGACATCGTTTAGAAACAACAGGAAAAACATCTGCTGTCCTTTTCCGCACCTCATTAACTGTGGCCCCGATGCGTGTGGACTGAAAACCAAAAAGTGTTTTATAAAACGCACAAGTTCAAAATCAAAGCAGACAGCAACTGAATCTAGAAGAACTCAGAGGGAAAAGATGTGCAATCGTTATCCTCGCTATTAAACCTTCCCGCATAATACCCAGATGTTTAGCTCTTTGTGGCATAACAACCGTTTATGAGAAAGAGCCTCTATGAAGTCGTCATAGTAACGGCGACTAGCCTCCCGATACCGCTATAAGATAGCCTCATTCTGCGCAGCGCCACACTAAGGCGGTCCTATTCTTCTTTATTCTAATTCTCTCACTACTGAACTAAAATAGACGACCGAGCACAAGGGTGAGTGTTTCGTTTGTCCGAAATCCCCGGATTAATCACGCCCGCAGATGTATGACGCATCCCGACTCACATCAAAACCGCACCGAGGGGTTGAGGCGTCGACGAAAGCGATCGATAAGCGAGAGTCAGAAAGAGAGAGCATGAAAGAGACGCACAGGCCGCAGTCGGGCACCCCCGACTTCAGTCTGGCCGAGCCGGGGCCGAGGGTGGCGACGGCTCGACGAGGACAGAAGGGAAGGGGGGTCCTATGCGATTACCTCAAGAATTTCCTTTGTGATGTTGGACTTCTCAAGCTCCGACAGAACATCACATGCAACCTCACTCTTCCCCTGAAACAGCAAGGCTGAGATCTGGCAAGCGATCCACCCTGCACACTCTGATGTGAATAGAAAATCAATGACAAACCACAACTACACATCAAAAAGCGATATCACTTGTGAAACGTTATAGAAAGCCTTTATTATTGCACCAGTCACGGTGGGTAATGATCTTTGATATTGCTGCCGGCCACCGGACCAGTTAGATTTACAACAGAGCTTGAATTTTAGAACAAAACTCTGGTCCTCGCTTACATTTTCGATGGCGGCGAGGAGATGTTGCTTGAGCTGCTCAACGGTCAGTGCACAAGATGTCATGGGCACTGCCAGCGAAATTGGAGGATGAGTGGCCACAGCAGCACACGCCACCATCCAGCTCACGGCCTCACCAGGCGTCGTCTGGCCGCGCGCGCGCGATTGGCTCCTTATATACCCGCGTCCGCCTCTCGCTGCCGCCTATTCGTCGGCTGAACCAGCCCTCGTCCACGATTGGCTGGACACGCCTTTGGTTCCGCCTTCTGGACCGCTCGCGTCGCAGGTGACACGCACGCGTCAAGGTATCTTCGATTCCTTGCAGCTATCTGAAATATCATGACATCATCCGAGGGACCTCCTCGTTCATTCCAACAATCTACTCCGGCTAAGATGGTTGGTTGCCATTTCATTCATATACAGGCACCAGCCAACGATATTTTAGGGCATTTAGCAAAGGCATAGCGCTTTTCAATTAACTCCGTCAGCTGCTAAAAAAAACTGTTTTAGACGTCGTAAACGTTCTCTCCCACTGAATATCCTTTTTACAGTATCGATGTCAGATTTTGGGATTGATAGCAAACCAAAAGTGCGAGGATTGAGTGCACGAGGGGGAAGACGGAAGGTAACCCAGGAGTTGAAGAACGACCCCGTAAATGACGGTTTCGACGATGCTGGTACGTAGAAATTCAACCTTAAAACGCTATTTCTTCTCATTTTTCATTTATTTTTGCCAAGTCATTTTTTCAAATATTTTAAACTACCTTTTACTGACGCATTGAGTGTTACCTGTGGGCCTCACTTTACTTGGTGTATTACGTTTTGCCCTTTCTGCGACGTTTGAACCAACTCACCAAAAGTTCCAACCAAGGGCTAGGTCCGTAAAGCGGTCCCTGCCTTGAGGCGAGGAATGATTTCATGGGAGCGATGAGGGCTTTTATAATGGTGTATAACGTTATCAGATTGTTTTAGATGCATCCGAACTTAACATTCGTGTGAAGGATCGAACAGGTGATGACGTGGTTGCTTCAAGTAAAAGAAATCGCATTGGAGGGTTTTTTAAGGTGTGTTTAATTTGTGATGAGTAGCTGTCAGCTGACGTCAGCATTAGTGGCTATAGCTACTATCGATTACTTTTAGGAAACCCCTATCAAAGGTCTCAAAGATGGTGCTGCAGATGCACTGAAACGTCCACTGACAGGTATTTTTGTCAGTTTTAGTTTTTTATATCCACTTTGTTTTTTTTTCTTTTCATGTTCTGCTTTAGCTACTTTTGGAATCTCTCGGCTTTTCATATTTGTAGTGTATATTCGCACTATTTCTGTATTGGGTTGGGAAGTGGTTCAAAATCCACCATTATCGCTTGTAGATGGTTTTAAAAAGCTTCATAATAGACATCTATGTTTCTCGGTGTGATGCTCGCTCCAATGAATGGGTTTTGTGAGGGTTCTCAGGTGAAAGCGGGAAAAAATCCAAATGATAGTAGAAAACGACCCAGACTATCGTGAGGCATGCGTGAAAGGAATCTTATCGGAATTATTGTAACAAAGGCAGTGACGTTGTAGACCTTTGTAAAGATAAGGCGTGCTAGATAGTCCTAGTTTTTTGCGGGTCTTTGAACCATCATTTTATAATTGAAGCCCAGTTTTACTTATTTCTACAGTTAGAAGATAAAGTGCAAATTAATAATATTATGGTCTTTTGGACAATGCTTTTCGTTCTAATTGGTAGCATTGGGGATGTTCGTTTCTGTAACCCACTTGGTCACTGTTTTTCCAGTATATTTTTGGTTTCGTTAGCAGAGTTCTGACTTTTTTCTGGTCACTGCAAATCCGAAAGCTGCATATCTGAGGCTGAGATGATCTTGCTTAGTGAATACTTCTAGTATCACTTTCAAAATAGTTTTCTTGAGCGTTTACTTAACTACTCGGCTGCTACTGTGAGAAATATTGTTCGTATTGTTCGAAGTTTGAATTGAAAAGTAATCCTCTAAGCTTAGCTAATGACTTACCCCATTTCTAGAGTGGTATGGACGGCTTTTTCACTGTATTATCTGTCGTCTCCTAAGCTGATGAGAGCTTCGCTTGAACTGACGCCAGTAAGGTCCGCATTCGTCCTTGTTGCAAGCCAACGTGGTCTCGTGCAGGGTCCCCTCTAGAGGGACACGAGGCACAGCATTCCTTTCGTTCGGAGCCCTCGTGTGAAACTCTGACCTTCGCGCTGTTCGAGACTGATTCAACGGTCATCGCAAAATTGCGTGCAGGTCTGACCCACTTGATCTTCGATTCTTTTTCATAAGCAATAGTGCAACAGATTATATAACTAGATTGCAGGAATTTAGGATTTCGGTCTTAACACTGGAATAGTGGTCGTTTTTCCGAAATTTGTTGAACCGTTCCTTTCTCAGATTATTTTCAAATTTAAATTAATTTACCCTTCTCAGATTATCTTGTTTTCATTAGCTGATTATTTTGACAACTAGCATATGGCGATTTGTAAGCCTTTTAGAAAAGCCTCACGAAAGGATAGCATAGTAGTTATTACGAATGACATCAGTAAGAAGAAGACTTCATCACATCTTTTAATGTGCTTATTTTTTGGCCTAGTCTCATGGTCTCATCTGGGGCAGGCCAAGCTGTTTGTACAACAGAAAAATATAGTAATCAATTTTTGATTGGCCATTTAATATTTCGTTGCTTCCCTAATTACCCTCATACTATCAGACTTTTAGCAAGAAAAGTTGAGGAAAATGACGATGGGAAGCATTTCTGGAGGTTTTGAGTACGCGAATAAGAGAAATGTACCAATGGTGAACATAGCGAGAAGATCCTTATAACTTATGAGAGACCTCAAAATGATAAAACTGAGCGAGTATTTATGCCATGATTTGTATGGCATTTTGAGTAGAAGCCGTGATTCCTCATATAATTTGCTTTGTTTGTTTTGTATAGCATATTCTCACTTTGCTCTTTTTTTAAGGGTGCTTATTGATGGGCTTGAATCAGGAAATAGTCGAATTAGTAGATTTTTCTTTTTCGAATATTAGCTGATGTAAAAATGACAATTGAATGGTGCACGTTTGCCGAAGAGCTACATCATAAAAAGCAGAACAAATGGAGCTCAATTTTTCTCTTCGCTCAAAGTGCCGCCAATCAATCCATTATTTTGTACGATTAGCAACCTTGTACTTTGCATAACGCGGTTTGTACGATCTAGGAGAATCCCACGGCGTAGAATCAGGGCTGAAGAGAAGTGGTCTGAAAATCCTCTTTCATTGTTAATGAAGCGATTGATTTTTTTTAAACAAATAAGTGCTGATTAAGAATGGCGTGCAACTTTCCGTACTCGTGGTCTTGGTTTGTAAAGATGAGTGAGTGGAGCCTTTTTTCGTCCTCCTCGTAAAACTGGAAATGAGCCAACGGTTTGGGTAAAATAATCCCCTCGCTTGTATGATCTCTTTTGTCTCAAGGGGAGCTTGGTACACCTTTCTTCGTGGTGTTTTTCGTTACTTTATGTTTTTTTCTGTGTCGATGTAGTATGGGTGGTAGTTCTAGATTTGAGTTTTAACTATCTTAGTACTTCTTCTAGGGATATTCCGACGTCCTTTGTCTCGAGCTGGTCGAAAGCGGGAAGACACAGAGACGAATGTTGTGGCTGGTAATGGTCAAGGTACTTTTTGACGAATTGTTCATTACTTGCTTTAGCTTTTCATTTGTTTTTCATTGTCAAATGTTGTATTATATTGGTCTTCATCGGGCATCATCATTTTTGGCATAAAGAGGGATGTGTGTGCAAATTGTGTTCATCAGACGTCTGTCATGCGCTGCTATCAATTCCGTGAGCCATATTTACCTTTAGTGGGATTTTCTTTGATATGCATTTCTCCCACGTGTGCTGCCCATTGTAGGGCATTTTATAACGGTATTGCTAATACCCATCCCAGTTCGGCGGTAGCATTGCTGGTTGTCGATTTCTGTTATCTCGCGTTCATTTTTACTGACTGTTTCAGGTAGGCTGAGACTCGCTTGACCTCTTGGCTTGTTGACTTCAGTTGCCATCACTTTCCATAAATCCTCATATTCAGTCCACTCTTCAAATCTTTACCCATAATTTTTCAGTAACCACTTCCATTTCGGGAGGTGGAGCTTTAAACCCGGAGATACTGTGACCGAAAAATTGACCTTGGAAATTTTTGCTGTTCAGGCCTTCCTTGGTTCCGGCAGTAACCTAACAGATTTACATTATCACAACTCACTTTACGGCACCTTGCAACTTAATTTCCAAAAATAGCTAAAAGTTTACGGATGCTCCAAAATTTTTCTTTTGATTCCAGCTCGCATGATTACAATGAAGGACAATATTCAGATAAGGCTAGTTGCCCTCATCGATGGATAGGTCAGAGAGTATAGGCGCAAGGCCATGTTACGTAATCCCACGAACGCGCGATTCTTCTCCCTCCATTCCCTCAATGAGGGCAAACTGATTGAAAAGTAATCTGGGGAAAGTCAAAGAGTGCATTTGGTCATGTGCAATTAGACTTACCAAAAGCTTTCTTCCATTTTTTAAACTTTTCTACACGTTTGTATAGAAAAATTTGACTTCAATATACATCGGACGGTGGGGTACTTCTCAGTGTTCGTTAAGCTGTTGAGGAAACTTGGTTTTGTAACTGCTGTAATTGAAGTGGAATGCTTAAGAAGATATTTTGTTTTAGGAATTGATGAACGCAGTTTGTCTCCAGAACTTGTTAGCTCATCGAGAGTGCGTAACAGTGTAGCAGCGACGGATTTCGATGCGATCGCTAAAGCTCCACTTTTAACGGCTTCCCAACTGCACGGAATGCTCCAGATCGATGCTTTCGCTTCCAAATATCCTGATTTGGCAAAGTTGGATGATTTAGGTTGGAAGCTCCTGAAGTTTAATCTTTTATATTGTTAAAAATCTTTCTAAACTCATGTATTGTATATTATTATACATAACTATTGTGTATAATTACCTTGATTTTATTTCTAAGTTAACCTTTCTCTTTTTTTCCAATATACATTTTTACTTAGCATTTTTGTTGCTACCGCGTGCATTGCTTCGCTCGTTACATAGAATGGGCTTTCCGTTTTTTCCTCCAGCCAAGCATTCTGCCGACGTATATCTTTATCGATTTCTTGAAAATGTTTCACCCCATTGAAATATCGTAAAACATTTATTTTCTCAAAGACAATAGATGCGCAAAATGATAAAATAATGGTCATCCGGTGAGACTTAACATATTCCATGTTTTTACAGACATATCTTTGTTGTCACGTTTCCTGTATACAGAAGAAGAAGTCAAAGACGAGGAAGTGCCATGGACGTGGGATTACATATTTGCTTCGGTCTCTACTGAATTAAGAGACGAGTGGGCGCAGGAAGAAGGCGATGAGTCATGAATTGCTCTCATTTTTAACTCAGCTTTTTCCTTCTTGATTCTGACGTATGTATTTTTGTATTTTTTGGTAGTGTTGCTGTAAATGCTCATTAGAATAAACCTGTGAATAATATTGTTTTGTCACATGAAAGAGGTAATATTACCCGCTGGAATTTTTCTTCAATTAGATGCAAAATAAAATATAACCTTGCTGTAAACCAAAAATTTCTTAGTGATTGGATATCTTCATGAGAATACGGCCGGCATCTTTGTACAGAAATACATTTTTTATTCTTGGATGTGGTCTCCTACTTTATGCTTTCTATTGCCTTGTTGCCTATGACGACAAAAGCCATGTTGACGTGCATCGTCGACAAAAACATCTTTACCTCACAGTTTCGAAGGATAGGTTGGTTCATGATTAGTGACTACAAAAATTTTCAATCAAAATAAGCTTGAAGGTCAAGCAATCAGTAAGTAAGTCAATCAAAAATATTAGCGAAGCTGTTTGTTAGTGTAAGTCCCACTGTGTAATGGCTATGTTCGAATGGTTTCTCATCGTATTCCTTGACATGATGTCTTCCCAAAGTGAAAGGCTGAAATCTGCATATCCAAGAACCGAAATAGAAGAAGTTCCAGCTAGGCTGGAGTTAGACGGTTTTCAATAAGATTTCCGAGTTTTGGGTCAATGGACGAAGGTGTTTCGTGAAGAAAAGAAAATTGATTTTAGCGATTGCAAAGGATTCTCTGTATGTTTTAAATAGCATCGCATTTCTTTGAGTCTAGGAGTTTTTTTGAGATAAGCATAAGTTAGCTTCCCAATTCATGGGTACTCTCGACATTCTTGTTGGTACAGAAAGAGTCTAGTCTTCTTTCATGCACTATACATATACCAAACATAAGCTCAAGCTTTTTTCCGTTTGGCTCTGGTCCACTCTTCCCCACTCTATATTTTGATGACCAATGTGGATTTGAGTTTTATTCTGCTCTTACCTTGATTATTACGTACATATTTTTAGGATCGGTGTATTGTAACCTACAACAAGTCGTTGATAGGAGCGACAGATGCGGTCGTATTCCATGCTGCGGACATAGCTGACGGACCTCTTCCTGACGCAAAAGATCGTCGTTCCAATCAAAGATATGTGTTCTTGAGCATGGAAACGCCACATAATAGCGGCTTCCATGCTGTACCATGTACGTTATCATATTTTTGAAGCTTTGTAGAGTTTGGTAAATGCTTTTCTCGGTTCAGAGCGATTCATTTTGCACCGTTTTAAAGGCACCGTTTACGTTAAATTTAGGGTACCCTTTTTTTGACGGGAATTCATAGAACTACTCTAGAATAAAGCGATAACAACGAAAAAAGCGCAAAAAACGATGAACAAAAAGAAATAGGAAGGGTCAAAAAAGAGCTGGAAAGGGGGGTTGGACGTGTTTCACATTGGAAGAACGGCGGTTAAGGGAGTGTTTGGGCGAGTGCACGAAGGCGACGCAATGTCTGCAATAGCAGACAACACACCCAAGCAGACACATCGCTCCAATGCGAATGTGGTGAAGGACAATTAGAACTCGTAGCCAGCCTAGCGAGGGGCGGAGGCCTCCCGTCCCCCACTGTTCCTGCCCTTATTGTGCCCTATCCAGACCGTTTTCCGACCTCATTCCTGCACAAATGGTATCAGAGGGGGCGTCGAATTCAAACCATGTGCAGATCTCCGAAACCATTTTTTTGTGAACAGTGCCTTTAACCGGGCAAGAACTTGTAACTTCTAATTATCGCAGTAAAATTTCGAAACTACCATTTTGTTGATCGCTGGCTTGTTGTACTGAATATTGAATGCCTTCCAAAATTAAGATTTTCAGTGAATTTCTTCAATTGGACAGCCACATATCTGCTGTCTTCAGACGTCGTTTTCAAGTACGGCGTATACTTCCTTCCCGCAAAAGTAGCTGAAGAAAAGGGCTTCAAATTTACAGTAAGTGGAACCGTTGTTCATACTGCGATATATGTTTATGACGGGGAGTTATGATTGAGTGATGTGGGTAGAGAAGAACATGCCGTAAAAATCTCATACTTTATCATTCACACAATAAATTCTTATTTTTACGATATATTCTCATGGTGCGTATCATGTACATGAATACCTTTAATATCAGGTAGACTCTTTTCCTGACAATTAATGTCGGCGCACGTAGAACTGTAAAACAAGCTGGACCCCTTGCGCCGAAACAATAGCAAACGAGCGTAAAGGCAAACAAGGGAATCGGAGCTATGCGAGTCGCTGAAACACTTTCTGATGAAAGCACATGTCTAATTTTCAAACAGAGCCAACAAAGTGCATAGGTCATTTGAGGCATTGCCGTTGAAGATAAGTAGAAGCTCAGAAATAAGGCCACTAATAGCAAATGATTTTTTTTTCAACTTTTGATCTGTGTAAATTTTGAATTGATGATTTCATGTTCAGGATTTTCATGTTGATTACTCTTTCCCAAAGAAAAAATCTGGTATTCTCGGATTCATATCAAATTGCAATACTTCTTCGAAGAGGGAATTGGCTCTGAGAGAGCTGTCCAAGTAAGTCTATTGGTTTCAGATAAGCGTTAAAAGCGCTATGGTGCGCTACAAACTTACTTTCAGGTACATGAATGTCACCATTGGTGGTAAATGCGCATCAAATAGAGACAATGTCAACCTTTGTCCATCTGGTCAGGACTGCACGAGTCTGTACAGCGATTATCCATTCTATTTAGCCGTCGAGAACTCTGTACGTTTTTTGACGAGTCGGGACGATATTTTCGGTGCAAGGGCTATACTCGGTTACTCTTTTACGGGGGTCTTTATTGAATTTGATCGCTTCGGAACAGACTTGACCATTTTTTGTTTTGTTTTTGTTGTTTCAAACTCTATATTTTTAAATTTTATCATTTTTATAATTCAATATTAATTTAATTTTACAGGAGTTTGTGGTGAAAGAGTTATTTATTCCTTCGTTATGCTTAAGTTGAAGACGCCATTATAGTAACAAATAATTTGATGCATTGGAAAGCATATTCATAACTGTGGTTGTGAAGAATTATTCATAATTAAGTATTGGTCAATCAGAATTATAACTTACAAATATCTTCATACCGATGATATTTTTCCCAACAAATACTCATAAAACTGAACTTTTATTGTTTGCGCATAAATTGCTGTCTTGCTAGTTCATTGGCCACTCCGATTTTGTTCCACACTGCCGCTGATATCCGTGCCAATAAAGTGACCAGTCCTCCTGACCATTACAGTTTAACTTGTGCGAGGTTTAGGTTGTTTTTTTCAGGTTTGTAAAGATTATATCTCAGAAAAATACTGGGAAAGGCTTTCGGTGCCGAGTGTTCCCATAGTGATGCGAAGAAAAGTCTTCGAATCAATGTGCGTTCTATTTTAATTGTCCTTTTTTGTTTTTGTTAACTAAATTTTCCACCCTTTAGCACAATACCACCACATTCATTTATTGCAATGGATGACTATGCTTCACCAAAGGAAATGGCTGCAGATTTGATTCGGTTAGAGTCAGATAGGTTAGTGCTTTGTGAAACACTTCTTTCACCAAAGGAAATGGCTGCAGATTTGATTCGGTTAGAGTCAGATAGGTTAGTGCTTTGTGAAACACTTCTTTTTCTCGTCCTTTACCGAAAAGTTAGAAATTTTACCATGATGAAATTACCGAAAAGTTAGAAATTTTACCATGATGAAATGAGATCCATTAAATTATTCTTCATTGGTTGCACTCTTGCAGCTGCTTTGCAGGAAAGCTTATGCGGAGTATTTCGCGTGGAGAAATGGAGGGTGGACAGCTGCTCCATGGAATGCTCCCGGATATCGAAACGGATATTGCCGATTATGCGAACGCCTTTGGGAAGAAAACCAAGAACCCAAAGTGGTTGGTGGTCAATTTTATTGCTTTTGATTCATAATGATTCTCGATCATTGGCAATTTCGCCCTTGCCTTGTAATTTTTCAAACTTGTTTACCTCCACTATCGCGAACTCATACTGTATAATTACTGAACAGATCACGAGCGCGGCCCCTGGCCTTATTTCAAGGCATGTACCAAAATCTAGTTGTGAAAGAAACTCATTAATTACCTCAGTTCCAATCCCACCACACTTTAAGGGGTCCAAATTTGTGGTTCAACGGCATGGTAATGGCGTTGCTTTGTAAAATTATCTTGATGTAATTTGAAAACATATGCTAATATCTAAGCTACGCCATCCGGCAGAATGAGTAGTCCATAATTCACAATATTTGTGAAAGAGTATACGAAAAGTGCGAAGATTATTACGTGACACACCGCATGTCGACGTCAACACCGCCGTGTTGGCTAATCGCCAACTCTCAGCCTCTGTATGCGAAACTGGTGCGAAACCGAAACTATGTCGATTAAAAATTCCCAACAGAATTCATAATTCGCTAGTGTCTCTCTTTCTGAAGGGAATGTATTGCATATATTAACAGCTGGGGTTCTGCCTTCTAGGCCCCCTCAACAGCACATGTGGGCCACAAATTTTACGCCTATCCCTAGCTCTGTATCATTATTTCAAATAAGTTGGATGTTATGTTATATGTTGTCGGATAGCCGTACCTCAAAGGGACTGATGTTTTCTTAAATGTTCTATCCTTTCCCTGACCGCTTTTTCTTAGACGTTTGACATGAGAACAATTGAAACAAGTGTCTCAGATCCCTGACGTTTGGACGTGGTTCAAGTCAGAGTCACAATGCGAAGGAGCCGATTTTGTAAAAAATTGGATTGGATTATAGTTGCTTCACTGCCGAAGACCTGGTAAATACCATGGAAAATCCTTCAAGTCATTTGGAATGCTCAGAAGTCAGGCTGACCTTTTTCGTTTGTTCTATACATTAAGGCAATTGTTGACAAATCCAGTCCAGTTCAGTTTAGATTTTCTGATGTCTGTAGATGGCTTTATTCTGTGTCTCCTAAATGACGAGTAGCTGTTTGGCAATATTCCAATGCTGATTTCATAGCCTTCACTTACGCTGCTGTCATATTACTAACTTTATGTTTTTTTTTGTATATTTCAGATTCACAATTTGAAAAGCTTTCCATTTTTAAGAAAAGTCTTCTTTTATATTTTAGATTTTCTACTCTTTTCCGAGTATTTGGTTCCAGTAACTGCTCATTACCAAATGACATTTTGATCAGTACGGTAGTGGAGTTAGCATTTATACTTATGTGAAGTTATGCTGTTTCTTTTTTATTTTCAAGCTAGTCACCTCAATTCGAACTTCTTTTATTCGGGTAACAATTCTATCGAGCATTCAAACACAATAAATTTTTATTCCATATAGTAAGGGTCAATACAAGGTTATGAGTTCCCGCATTGAAATGCTGGGATACACATGTAGTGGGTGTATATTCGATGACTAATTCAGAACGTCGATTCACATAAGGTGAAGTGCGAGTCTATGGAAAACCGCCCAGTACCTTTGACTTACTCAAGTTTCCTCTCGGTGATGCTGCAAAAACTAAACTAGGTTCACAGCCTTCGAAGGAAGTTCCTAAACAGGAAGAAGAACTCAAATGATGGAGGGGAGAGATCCTATATTACATTAAAGCTTGTAATTATCTAGGAAGGCTCGCAAGGGATATTATATTCCGTTTAGAGCAAGAGGAAATGTAGAACATTAGGTTCACCAGATTAGAGAATAGAGAGATCGAGATTTAGTGAGAAACCAGTATTGAGTACCTTAAAAGAGACATCTCAGGAATCTGCAAAGAGAACATATAAGAGTTTCCAGTATAAGAGTATAAGACCAGTTTCCAACATATAAGAGCTTATTCAGATACCTAGCGCAGGCCTTCTTTTTGCCAGGGAGGAAGTTCAGGGATATGCACAGTATTAATGACGGACACGAGAGGCGGAATTTGTATCCAAATTTCCATGAAAGCGCACATGGGCAATTCGTTGATAGGGGTCTTATGGTATCAAGCTGCAATGACCGTAATCACTTAATGAAACCGCGCGAGAGTCTTTAAAATCTGACGCATATATTGCGCGCTCCAATCTCACTGAATTTCTGCGACAACTGTCTAGCGCGGCACGCCGTTCGGGCATGAATACCGCATCCGCTGGGTGTAGGACGACTGACAACACGAAAGGCCTCACAATCAATGGAATGTAGGGACATCGGGTAAGTAATTTTTGTACGAGATTCCAGTTATTTGGCATTCAACTTCTGGAGATATTACATAACTCAAATCATATTCCAAAAGTGTACAAACGAAGACATAGATTTGACTGTACAAGTGGAGCTGTCTAGAATTAGCATAGTTCAGGGCCTCTGCAAAGATTCCAGTGATGTGGTGGCTGTAGGAGGTCGTGTCCAAACTTCACAATGCTCCCTCTCACGGACTATCGTACCTACTGGCTGCTGGCTACTCAAACGTTCCAAAAACGATTGTGGTGTGTTCGTGAAATCAGGTAGGGTGTGAGAACCTGAAAATTCAGTTTTAAAATTTTCAAGTCTACAGAGTTCGGGACCAAAGATCACCTGGAATCGTGAACAGTTTCGATCTTCTTTTTAGGGAACGGGTCCTTCGTCGTCGTTGACGAAAGCAGATAATCAATGCGAATGCGATCAATAGCAGAATAATCGATGATGGAATTATGACGAGTAACAGTTGCCATAACGGTAGATGAAAGAGGAATGGGCGTGGCTTAATTGTGCTGATTATATAATTAGGAGATACATAGACAAGCACGATCCCCATTCCCTCCTACATGTTGTTTCTATATGTTTGGGGGCTAAATTGATAGGGGAGATAGGGCGAAGCTAAGCCGAGCAGGCTCATACAACGGTAGCTTAAAAAGCCGGATCAATACCCACACAGGACACAGGTTAGTAATCCTCTCTTCCTTTGGTATGGATTGAACGGAAGCTATTGTTGCTCTGGTCATGCCCTTTCCTCTTCCCACCCTATTTAAAGCGTTTTTTATTCTTTATATAATTATCTATTCGAGGAGGTGGAGATGGGCAAGTGTTGTGATTGTGACGAAGGCGCTCTATCACACAAGTGTGGTCTGGAGGAGATCGAACCGCGGGTCAAATCTTGCCCAGACTTACAAGACCTTCCACTCCTTCGGGGTTGATTAATTGGTATCAGATTCGAAGACCACTGCAAGTTGATGTAGAAGATACACTCGCATCCAAAGCGCTCTATGAGTCTGAATCGAAGTCGAATGCGGGGCGCATCCCAACAACACGGGATTGACTACCTTTATAGGGATAATTCCTTATATTCTCCATTAAACTTGCCGTTACAGTAAGAAGAAGGAAAAGTTGTTGAATGGAATTCGTCGTTACCCTTCCTGATCTTCAATTACCGGAGAACGTCCGTTGCGCGCGTCCGTCGAAAGTAGGTCACCCCGCCCATTCGCGCGCGGCGCACCACACAGAGGTCGTGAGATGACATTACAGTACCTCCAAGTGTCAGTGGAGCGAAAGATTGGCATTTGTCTGTGTTATCTTCTT